GCAAAGCTCGTTTGCAAGCAGTGCAAGCATTATAGCTGTCACGGGAGTCGTAAAGGAAGGGCAGCCAAGTTGAACAGATTTGCTACTGTGGACCGATCTGTCAGTGCCGGCCTAGATTGGGTCGCATTATCCTGTTGTGATGACCTGACAACTTTGTAGCCGTTTTATGGGGAGGCCTTTTACATGTAACCACTTTTTTGGATGAAGCCTAAAGCATGTCTCACGTTCCCATTTCGAAGGTAGCCCAGGTAGCGAACATAAATGTCAGATGGGTAAATTCACCTCACAGCTCGGCTGGTGCCAGGTCAGTTGCCGCCTTTGATTTCGGAGGTGAGGAGGGAGGGGGGGGGGGGCACTCAAAATGGCTGAATATCTAAGAAATCACTGAACTGACCGGGAAATTGAAACTCCAAAAACCGGGATCGCAAGACGTCTGCACAACCCAAGTGGTAAACTTCATGATAATTGGTGACATCGCGGGCCAGATCGAACTTCTCCATTTTCAAAAGTTTTCCAGAGCGCGGATGTCCGACTAGATTAACTGGTGGACTAGTGCCATCTCAGGCCCAGTCACGTCATACGATATGCTCGTTTTTTTCTAGAACGCTTGCATGCGCTTCATTACGCTGGCAACGGTAGGTGTGGGTGTCATGTTCGGAGGTGCTTGAGCCTCCTCTTTATCATGCTACTGGACCTTACTACATGGCGCATACCATGATTGTCTTATAGGATCCGGAATTCCCTATGTGGGTGACACTTGCCATACCGTTCGGGATCTCGGGCCCCGATGCTTGCGCATGCCAAAATGACACCTATGGATGCGACGTAAAAAGTCGGGCTGAAATGCTGACGTGCCCAACAATTTGAAAACGCAACGTATCAATTCCAAAGTAACCGCGAAATAGTTCTCAAGGAGTTTATCAATTCTGGCACGCAATGTGTAAGCTGCAGCCACATCAAGTACCTACAGATCTAATGAACCGCCAGCAAACAATGCGTTTTGGACGTGCTTTGGCTGGGAAAAAACAACATTCAGAAACAAAACTATTCGGAGACCTTCATTAGGAGAACCTTGATGGTGGATTCGGGGCTGCGCAGCAAAGTCCGCATAGTAAGCAGTGCAAGGCTTCCCGAAAACAATTTGGAAACGGATTCATAGAAAATGTCATTCAGCCACATATCACGGCTTACAATCCAAGCATCACTAAAGACTAATTTTGCTCTTCATTGACGTTGCCGGACGGGAGACCCGCCTCTGCCACCTGGAAATCGATTAACAGGTCATCAGTTGATCTAACCGCTCGGAACAGCAGCTGGCACGGCAGTCTCTTCGAGGAAGATAGCTTGAAGAGCTCTTGTCAGACAGTTGCGATCTGCTATGGTGAAAGTCAACAAATCTGAGTGTTAGTTTTGCATCATCATCGGAGATAAACGTTATAGGAAAGCTGAAAAGTCAAGAAGGGATACGACCGTCTGATTTGGATTAAAAGTAGCGCCTCAAGATGATATACAGTTGTTTCGACCCTCGCGAGTAGGTGGGGCAGCCTGCCACTGTCGTTCATCCTCATCTAGTCATTTCTACCACGTAAACTTTTACTACCTTGTTCTCGAAAGCATGTAACGTTCAGAACACTTCACTGAAGTAACCCCTGAATTTGCCTATTATGCATCTCAGGAGTTTGGTTACAGTTCTTGAGTCTTTCTGGAGTATCTCGCTTCACTGCTGACCATGTTCAACGCCCAATCGCGTAACTAACGTCGGTTGGGCTCACATATCCCTTTTAACTATATTTTATGCGCTCACTCTGTCGAACGAATCTGTTTAAAACTGTTGTGACCTGGACGGCCCTTCATTGGCCTACTACAGGAAAACCGAACACATTTACCCAGGCGCTACAGTATCTTGAGTACTATTGTTCTTAACTGTTCGACATGTGCTGGCGTTAGCGGTCTCGGCATTAGATCTTTATTGCACCGCGCGATGAGGTCTGCTGACAGCGGAACATGCCTGCGTGAATACTGCGGTTGAACGCGTACCGGAACCCACCGAACTACTTTAGTCTGAGTCCAACCGGCACGATTTTGGATTTGGGGTACATGCGTAACGCTACAGCCTTCACCAATCACATCCTAGGTGCACCTCAGCTAGAATGCTAGGTCCCGGGACAACATCCGACATCATCTGGCCATGCCACGTGACAGCATCCGACATCTCTGACCATGCCACGTGACAACATCCGACATCTCTGGTCATATAATTGCATATGTTTTCGTCGCTTTTCAACCACTTCCTTATGTAAGAAGAAGTGTACGTCTTAAATAATAAAGGTACTGATGGGCTTAAAAGTTTTTCATGTGCTGTCGCTTATGCGAAGGTATGCATCAGCGGTCGAACAGATAATATTGTTATTTGGCTTATCATGTATTTCCGATTACGGCGATTTCTCAGTTATCGAGCGTGTTTTAAATGAGTTACCATCCCCTACCCGAAGTGTATCCTTGAGTGGAAAAGTCGGATATGCGAATGGGGGTTCGATGCACTTAAAACTTTTTTGCATTACCCCAACATCAGGCGTTTGTAAACTGACATGAGGCATTTTGTTATGAATGCCATGAATAGAATGTCACGTACACGTCAATAATGTTGTTCGTTAGGCGAAACGCATGCGTCAATTGCAAAAAACGTGTTTCCATTTGGAAGTAACTTAACACGCACTCGGGGCGGGGGTCAAATTGACCCCCCGGAAGTTTTTCCTGAATAGTTTCCGGCGGCGTAGCCGCGCCAAATTTTGCATGACTGTAGGCAATTAAAAAGTGGATCGTCTGACATCAAAAAATTAGATTTACCTTGTAAGGTCATTGACCTAAGTCAGGTCAAAGTCAGACCGTGGTTTCAGCGAGGGCACATTCTAGGAAATCGTTCAATCCGACCAAACAACGGAGTGTTAGACGAAGCCATACATTTCTGAAATACTTTCTTGGGCAACACAACAATTGAATAAAGAAACAGCATTGACCTAGGGTCATGTATGAAGGTCAGACCCGGGTCAAAACCAGCCTGTTTTATTACTCTCGAGCTTTTTGCATGGGCTGGCTTCTGGTGCTCATTTCGAATATATTGATTGCAGAAACCGCATTATACACCTTCCATAGACTTATTATAGGTCAGCATAGGTCGCTGACCTAAAATGACCCTGTTCAACATTTTGCTTATAGGAGCATACTGCCAAGTGTAATTTTTGCCGTTTATCTAAATGCACAACTCAAAGAGTCATAAATTTTGGTCATCATGGCCTTTAAAAGGTCAAACAAGGTCACTGACCTTAACTGAACGTGTGACATTTTACTTAGAACAGTTGCGTAGGTTTTAGAGGCCCCTTGGAGATCAATCTGGAATTTGACTATTGCGTTCCCATTGCGCCCATTGCTCCCATTGCGTCCCGTGTATTGGGAGCGGACCGCGTGCCTCGGTCACCGGGAGGTCGTGAGGCCATCTAGATGGGGGGACCCCGAACCGGCACTCGGCGCGCGTCCCGAGGGGGTTCCTGCGCGGGTTGAGTCGTCAGCTGGATCCTCAGGCGCATGTGGCTCTGCGCCACCGTTATCCAGTTTCCTTCATCCCGTAGCCCCGAAAGGGTCAGAACTGGTTCAAACGGCTCTTAAACAAATGGTCAATCGATAAATTGCGATTGAAGATCACACAGCTTGCTAAGCATTGATTAACATGCGCTCGTGTGGGGGGTCAATTTGACCCCCACCTGAGATCTCAAGAACTAAGAAATCTAAAAACACGAAATTCACAGGGTGTGTTCACTTGTACGTGAACCAACTTAGGTCAAAGTTTGAGGTTTCTATGTCATAACCTTCGGGCCAAAAATGTCAAACAAGGTCAAATTCCAGGTTGGTCTCCAAATGGCCCCTAGAACCTAGATAACTTGTTCTAAGCAAAAGGTCACATGCTCATTTAAGGTCAGTGGCCTTGCTGACCTAGATCTAACCTTCATACGTGACATTGGGTCAATGTAATACGTTCATTCAATTGTTGTGTTGCCTAATAAAGCATCTCAGAGATGTATGGCTTCGTCTAACACTCCGTTGTTGGATGAGATTTTTAGGCCAACAATTTTTCAGAGATTGCCTTCGCTAAAACCATGGCCTAACTTTGACCTGCCATAGGTCAGCGACCTTACAAGGTACATCTAAATTCCTGATGCCAGACGATCCGCCATTCAATCGTCTGCAACTATGCAAAGTTTGGCGCGGCTACGCCGCGCCGTTCGGAAATAATTCCGGGAAAACCTCCGGGGGGGGGGGGGGTAATTTGACCGCTGCGAGCGCGTGTTAGGAGTCAATTCACGTGCACCGTATTTGGATATATATATATATATATATATATATATATTTATATACACATACATATGTATATATATATGTATATATATATGTATATATATATGTATATATATGTGTATATGTATATATATATATACATATATACGTTTGGAAATCGTGTTCACGGTTGTAGATTTAAACGGCTCAACTATAATATTACTCCTGTCCTTGAACGCTGCATGATCTATCGAGCATCAGTATTTGAATGACGTTGCTATGGCGTCAGGGATGCCTGGACGGCCTTGAAATAATATGCACGAAATAGTGTGCACATCATCGCGGGCGTGTAGCTCAAAAACTAGAATGTTTTGGGTCTAAGGAAGGGGAGGGAACTGCACCTAATGATCTTCAAAGTGGACATTTGAGTTCAAAGCTCCTTTCAAAGATGGAACACTTCCTTTAATGGAAACACTGGTTGCATGCACACACCACAATGCCTTTTCACTCATCCCGTTCACTCCGTCTACGTTTCAGTATCACTCGCCAGTTCATCAGACAAGTACAACTCGGAGATTTTGTCTGCTCCAGCCAAGCCAGGCACTGCGGCCGAGACAGCGACGCCGGCCGAGCGGCGCTTGGCACTACCTGGTGACGGAGAGCGGCGGCGAACAGCCTCCGGCCAGGCGGGGGAAGCGCAGCAGCGACTCAGCCGCCGTCAGCGCCGCTCCCGGTCGCCCGACCCACGACTAATATCGGCAGCGGCCGCTGAGCGGCGCCAAAAGAGCACGGCCGGATCAGCGCCGCGAACGGTCTGCTCACGGCTGGCACTGCGGCCGGACCATGTTCAGCATCAACGGCTGGCGCCCAGAATCAACGGTTCTGTGTCGGTGCGCCATCAAATCCAGGTGAGCTCACACCAGCGCCGGTGAAGCCCCATGACTCTGGGTAAAACAGGCGTGGTGGAGGCGTTCGCTTCGACTGCAGGCCCCACAGCTTCCTGGGATTGATAGCCCCGCTCATCGAGAACATGCCTGCCCGTAAGTAAGTTTAGAGCCCTAGCCCCTCTCGTAAAGCGCAGCCAAACAACGGTACCGTTACGTCTGGCCGTACAGTAGATCATTCCGCGAACGTATGATGTACGTTCCCGTGATCAGACAGTTGCCCCGCTCTATTTCTGACGTAGCACCACCATGCCCTCCTTGGACGAGGTCCGGCAAGACAGACGATCTCGCGCCAGAGCTGGGCCGGCCCCACACGCGGCACGTCGCTGCCGCGGCTGAGCTGACGGCGACGGTGGCATGTTTCAGCTGATGGGGGAGCGTCTGGCGCAGCAGCGGCAGCAGACGCAGGCGGCACTGGCTCAGGTCAGCCTGGTGCGGGACCAGCTGCAGGCTGAGACGGCTGCCCGGCTGCAGGCGCAGCACAGCTCAAACCAGCTGCTGGTGCACAACCGGCAGCTGCTGGAGCACGTGCAGACCCTCATCGGAGAGCTGCAGGCGCTAGAGGTCAGCACATTTGGGGCTAGAGATCATCATATATAAGTAGTATAGATGAATATGCATTTGGACGGCTGAACCCTCTATTATGCCAGGCACTAGATAAAAAAATCGATCAGTGATGAAAAATTTTGTACGCAGTTCAGGAAGCAGGACTGCATACGGGACCGGACAAGTTGGAGAAAGTCCTTTCTCCAACTGTCTATATCGCCCCTCCAAATTGCCGTTATTCTTTGGTTTTCAATGCTAAGCATGTTATGACAAAGACTAATGTAAAATAATAAGCCTTATGACAAATATGGCTGCTCGGAAGATTCTGCAATCACTCATTATCCCACCGCCTTCAAGTGAGCTCACAAAAGTTGCGATTTATTTCCATGCAAGCTCCCTGGTATTCGAGGCCTTATCTGTTTCGATCGTTTTTTGTACTTGTCATATTCTTAAATTCAGAAAATAAAGACCAACCAAAAATTTCGTCACTTTGGAGGAAGGAGGGACACCCCACTCTCTTTCCTGACTTATACCTATTCTGCAGGTACGTAAAAAAGTTCACAAATATAACGCTATGTCTTAAGTGTAAAACTTAATAGTTAGTAATAGTCGCAAACTTATATCTTAATAGTTGTGAACCCAAATATTTACACTATGACATTTCATGGAAAAAGTCTTATAAGAACCTTATGTAAATTTGCAATTCCTGGCCGCTGATCTAAAATAAAAAGATCTGCCTCACCTTGATCTCTTGAGCCTATCATTTCAAACCATCCCAAGCTCACTGCACTTGTGTTATTTCACGTCAACCTATTTTGACTTCCTGCTCTGTTCGACTACTCGTGATTCTTTATGCCATGACTGAGGCTGTTCTAACCCTCACGATAGGACAGTCTGGTCGGTTATGTATATCGTCTCGTTTTCGGCCGGCCGCCGCTGGGTGCCGACCGGTGACCAGTGCAGGACGCTTCTTTGGGCGCAGGACGCTGCCTCACCAGCCGCCGTCAGGCTCTGACTGGTGACCGATGCAGGACTCCGCATCACCGGTCGCCGCTCTGTTCTAACCGGTAACCGGTGCGAGATACCGCCTCACCGGCCGTCGCCCGGCTCTGACCGGTAACCGGTGCGGTACGCCGCCTCGCCGGTCGCCGCCTGGCCCTGATCAGTGACCGGCGTGCTGCAGGCGGCTCCGCCGGCCGCCGCCTCGCCGGCCGCCGCTTCGCCGGTCGCCGCCTGGCCCTGATCAGTGACCGGTGTGCTGCAGGCGGCTCCGCCGGACGCCGCCTCGCCGGACGCCAGCTCCACCAGCCTCAGCTCGGAGGAGGCGCGCCGGCCAGCGGCCGGGCCCGACCGGCACCGGCTGCCCACCACCACCGGCGGCGGCACCCACCACAGCCATGCGGCTCGCGTTCGGGACCTCGCGAAATAGCGACAGAGCTGCCCGGGCGGCCAGCTTTTAAAACCACGCACTCGCCGTTCGTGCGGCGAGCCGGCTGCGATGCTATGACCTCTGTTTGTCTGCTCTGACTGACTGATCAGTGACTGTCTGACTGACTGATGACTGCTCCTGACAGACGGGTTTCAGACTGTTCGCTGCCCCCGCCTGCCTCATGCCGCATGAGATAGATCGCTGCGCCGCTGTGCACCGCTTGTTAGCTACGCTTGTATGTCCGAGGGCTGCGACAGTCCGCTGGCCGGTGCTGGGATGCCTGGCATGGTCAGAACTGGGACGGGAGCTACTGCTGGCTCTGAAGCGATTATTTTTGTTCTGGTCAAGACAACCCGTGATGAGACTGTATGGCAAATATAGCTTAAACAGCCACTGAGGCGTTTGTGCTCTCCAACCAGTCCGCGCCGAAAACGCTGGATTGCAGCCCTTTCGACCAGTCATTGGCGTTTCGGGGCTATGGGATGGAGGAGAGTGGATAAAGGTGGGAAAACCAACACGCACCTGATGGCTCATCCGCCGAGCATAAGGCCGCACAGGGACCCCTGAGTGAGGTACGCGCTGGGCGCCCTGCCGACCCCCCCCCCCCCCCCCCCAACCAGGGGGCAGTTCAGACCGCTCATGGCTGGCTCGTATAACCTGCCCCGGATCAATGCGGTGTCGCAAATATTAAGGATAAAGCAAGAACAAGGCTAACAGGGTGGATGCAAAAGAATATATGGCCTTGAGGCCTGAATATACTGAGCGCCTTGCGCGCCTACGATTTCTTGCTTTCTCGATATCAGGTTCTGTCCATTTCATTCCAAAAGGCTAGGCAAGCCCTATAAGCGCACTGCACTGAAATCGCGTAAAGAAATAAAGTCCTGACAAAGCCATAAGAGCTTCTGCCTCTAAATCATATTGAAAACACCGCACCGTCGCAGCTGCTCTCAACTCCAATGACCTAGCAGTAAGGACCGCCCAGCCGGACGAGCGGCTCACACTAGAAGCGGAGTTTCAAAAGTTCTTCACCAGGTGTCCCTGCAAGCATCAGTACCGGCACGTGCGGTCCCGCGAACGTGCACTGAGGCGTAACTTCTTTTTTTTAGACGGAAAGTGGCTCACGTTGCAGTGCCCCTTTTATGGGGCACCAGTGCCTGTATTAGCGCCTAGGGTCAATGGCACAACCGGGGTTCGAACCCAGGGCCCCGCGTGGGTGCACGTGGACTCCCACGCAGTGACAGATCCAAAGGGGTTTGGGGGAAACGGGGCCATGCCTCCTCCCCATGGGCTTCCATGGGTTCCCATGACCGGCCTAACGAAAGCGTTTTCTTTTTAGCGCAAACGCGACAAAATCGGATATCTTTGTCCCCTAGGCGATCAAGCACAGCCGCATACGAAAGTGAAGGATCCAAGAACTGACAATTTTTTCCCCGTAGGTTGAGAGGGTGGTGATTGGGCAAATTTAAGGGCTCATTACGCTGTCCAGAGGTCCTACGCTGTGGCTGGGCCCTATATGTCTACTTCCGGGCTAATAGATCGGTAAGGAAACCTCCCGTTGTCCTTTATTTCTTTGCATTTGTTCGAAGCCCTTACACTGTTCTTGGGGTAGTGGCGCGTGTGGGGAGGCGGTATGGAGGGCATATGCCCCTTACCGTTAAGTCCCGAGGGCCCGAAGGGCTTCTCGGGACCTGCACTTAAGGGCCTGATTTGAGGGCCCGAAGGGCTCGAAGGGCTGGCCGAAGATCGCATTAAAGGTCTCGGTTCGCAGCGCCTCAAATGCTGGTCAGAGGGCCCTCTGCACCGAACAGGGACCCCCATGAATCGATGAGGGCCTCCATGTCAGCACCACTGCCGAATAGTCTGCTCCGAGTTGATCTGGGCCTGAGGACCAGTTTCTCAAGCAAGCACAAAGTCGAGGTCAGAGGCCCACCGTGCCTAATCGGGGGCCGAGTGTTGGCAAGAGGCCCACGGGAATACGAGGTACCCAAGACCTAATCTAAAGGGCCCCGAACAACCAAGCGTCCCAAAGCAGGTTAGCAGATGGGCTCCTGGCATCAGCGTAGGGCCCTGGGCAAGTGACAAAAGAGAATTGGAAACGCCCAGGGCCAATGTAGCGGGTCCATGCGCATATCGTCAGTATGTCGGTAGATGAACTGATAACGATGTGAGGAGCCCCTGAGCGGGCCAAGAACACCCTATCAGGTTAACATACGGGGCCCGGCTATAGCGCATAGAGCCTTCCGAGCAAATGCAAAGAATCCGTGGAAGACCCCTGACTGACAAGTGCCCTGGCACGCTAGCAGGAAGAGCCCCAGCGACAGCGCAGGGCCCTCCAAGCAAATGCTAAGGAATCAAGGGCAACGTGAAAGGCTTCTTAATGATCAGGTTTACTCTGCAAGTGGGCATATAGAGCCCCCGGAAACAGCGTATGGTCTTTGGACAGTGTAATGAGCCCCAAGACCTCGCAATCACCACCGTCTCAATGAGTGAGGAATACTTTTTGTCTGCGCGTGGGCCTTTCACTTTCGCTTGCGACTGTTGTTGGTCGCCTGAAATCCTAAAAGCGTCCAATTTCGTTACGTTTGTGCGAAAATCTACGCCTGTTCGGCCGGCTATGGGCCCTGTCGGAACCTTTCGGGGCCCAAGAAGGGCATGGCCCCGTAAACCCGGGTCCTTCGGGACCTCACATTGGGCCCTTAATCGTAGGTCCCGAGGGGTCCTTCAGGCCACTCAGAACCTAAGGGCCCCTGTGCCCCCTGCCTGCCCCACTGGTCAACACATCCTGGAATAGCACACATTTAATATTAAGTCAGCTCTTTAAGCTTTGACGTCATCTACAACAGCTTGCGTAGTGATTTGTGCATCCATATGCAGCAATTCGCAGCTTCCTTTTAGCTCGTCAGTTATTTTCATGTAATATATTGACTGGTTCGACCAGTTGCCATCCCAAGCCAGTCACACCATACGGGGCCACACAAGATCATCCTCTTAGGTCATGTGAGTTCACCTGTCACATGATGACCAAAGCAATTTGCTACACCTTTTTGCGATCAATGAATCAAAATTTCTAAGCCAACGACTTTTACGTTAATAACTTGATACACGTTAAGTAGAAGTCGTTGGACGGAGTCGACAGAGCTTGGGTCGTTGGACTGACCCAGAATGGAGTGGTTAAGTCCCGTATGTGCTGGAGGCCGTGCCCTACGGTGAGCCGGGACTGGCGACTGTGTTCCTCGTCGACCCAGGATTGTCGAGGCCATTGTTGTCATGTAATTACGGGACGCGATCAGAGACCACTTAGCTCGAGGTGGGAAGCCTAATCAAGTCGATCACCGACTCTGTGGGCAGCACGAACAGTGTTGCTATACATAGTCGCAGGATAACCCGCAGTGATCGGCCACTAAGCACAGGGTGACACAGAAAAATTGTCGCCAAGTTCCGGATCAACGCGAGACATTGTCACTCCGGCATGGATTATCACGAGACACAGTGATGCCCGGGATGAGGGCAGGACATGGCCACCCGGTAACAACGGCTACACGCACATTAGAAATAGCCCACAGCTTGATGGTGATGCCTGTCTTAGGCCGTTGGTCGTCTCATACGGCCGAAGAAGATGGCCGCTGAGCTGGATTTGGACTGAACTGGCCTGCATGCGATTATCGGGATATGTATTGAATTAGTCCATCTGAGAAGCTTAGAGCCAAGTCCAAATTTTGGAGGGACACATTTCAGAAAAACCCAGATGACTGAGTCATTGATTATGCATCTAACGCCAGTCACGTACTCTCCCCGGTGTATCGACCTGTGACGAAAGTGGTGTGGCCCTCATTTGTTATAATGACAATCGTTTTAACGGCTCTGCTAGCTTTTGTTTTAGTGATTATTTTTAAAATCGCCTTCAGTAAACTGATCGGGCGAAACAACTTAATAAAGATGTGCCCTTGTTTCTCTTAGGAACAAGTTTCGCAATACTTCTTCAAAGTTATCGCGTGATAACTGACCGATCAAAACGTTCGGAAGTGGAGCTGAAAACGATTGTCCCGAGTTACACCCGGAACATTTTGTAGTATGGAACAGCAGAAGTGCACTCACATCAGCATTTTGCACGAGTTCAAGCGGGTAAACAGGGAAAACTAAAGCACAGGGCTTGTCATGCTATGAACCACGTTCCTCCAACACGTCCGGCATATTGTCAGAATGCCTGCCTGGAGCAGCAGACATTCAATGACAGTCCACGTGTTTTGGGTTTTGTTTAAGCCGTGCGAAGATGAGGTGCCTTGCTCAGCTGCGCGTCATCACCGAGGCTTGCGATTTATTGCGCCGCGCTGAGCTGACGCGTAAGTGAGGTTTTATTTTTTCCTCTTTGAGACATGATGTGAGCTCGAACGGGCTCCCGGCAGAATTAAGAAGGGTCGATTGCTTTCCAGAGTGACTTTCAAGAACATTTATTTCTGATGCCTGCTCTGGTGATCTTTTGTTCCTCTCTCTTTTCTTGTGAGGTGAGAACTGAAGCATCCAGCCTCGTAAAGCATGCGGCTAGTAGAACCAGACACGCTGAATCAGTCAACGAATTTTCATCTAAGATTTTGTAAATCCTGACTCTCGTCTGTGGGACAAGCCATCATCACATATAAGAGGATTGTGAGACTTCCATAATATGGACTGAAATATATCGACTGCATATTAGCGTCGGAAGTAATCATTCGGTGGCAATATATACATATATCTATCTATCTATCTATCTATCTATCTATCTATCTATCTATCTATATATATATATATATATATATATATATATACATGCACCCATTTCTTATGAAAGCCTTCGGCAAGACAGCATTCAGCACAAACGCGTAGCTGAGCAGGAATACGTCTATTCGGAATTCAGACACAGAATTACTGCTTAAGCATGTATATTCTACCCGGTTTGGGTTAAGCACTCTCCACATGTCCAAGAGGGAGTTTGCTTGCCTACACTCGGGGACATTTTGCTTGCACTTTAATTGTGCGGACGTCTGGATGGTGTAAAGATCTCGAAAGACATGTCCAGACAGACTTTAGGATGCGCCCGGGCTGGCCATGATATTTGACAAACGGCCCGAAGCAGTCGCACTAAACTTTGCATAGCTCTTGGCAACTGAAGAGCGGAACTTTTGGTGCAAAGAAAATCGGATGCATGTTGCAAGGTTGCTGACCCATGAAAAGCCAATGCCAGGTTGTGGCTGTCAGCGGAAGAAAATTTTGGGTGAAGTGTTCAATCTGATGCAACATCGAAGCGTTTGACGAAACCATACAT